GTGGCTATTAATCACAGTGAATTAAAGAGATGGGCACCTTAAGTCATTTTTGTTTTAAATCTATACAATCATCAAAATTCAATGGGGAGACAGAGTGAAGGTATCTTTATTTTATTTTTAAAATATATTTTACTGATTTTTCACAGAGAGGAAGGGAGAGGGATAGAGAGCTAGAATCATCAATAAGAATCATCGATGAGCTGCTCCTGCACACCCCCTACCGGAGATGTGCCCATAACCAATGTACATGCCCTTGACCGGAATCGAACCTGGGACCTTTCAGTCCGCAGACGGACGCTCTATCCACTGAGCCAAACCTGTTTTGGCCAGTATCTTCATTTTAAGTGGTTAAGTGGAATAGTTGCATACTATTAGGCAGATGCATGATGTTATTTCTTTTTTATGTGGAAGTTTCAGTATGGTAGAAGGTGAGAATGGTGCTGAGTACTCAACAGGGTAAACTATTGAGTACTCAGTTATTTGTGGCAGACTAATGGAAGACCAACTGAAAAGAGGAGAAGCCATTTATTGTTTCTTGTTTCTGAGGGAATTTCTGGCAGCGTCGGGGTTCCTACTCGGGCAGGGCAGCCACAGGGTTGCAGCAGCAGAACGTGTGTGCCCTGCACTCATGGAGCTCTGACTTCGACAGTGACAGTGACAGCGGTGGGGACTTTGGGCTCCTGGTTTTCTCTGCCTTTGGGCTCCTGGGCAGCCAGCTTACTACAAAACAGCAGTGGTTCCAATGTCAGCAGCTTCAGTGGCACAGTGGCCATGGGTCCTAGATAACATCCTTTTCTCTTTTCTTCCTCTAGTCCTGGGGATGGTGTTTTCCAGTTATGAATCTCTTTTGGCGTCTGCAGTCCTTACAACACTTTAGCAGACAATTTGTTGGGTTAAATGCTGTCTGTTTGAATATTTACAGTGGTCTATGTTTTTCTAAGTGGACATTAGATGACATGCTTTTCTTCTCGAGCACTCAGTTAAGCTGCATTTGTCTTCCCTTTTAGTTAGTAGATGTGGCTGAATTCTAGACTACATAATGTTACTGAGTGATATGTGCTAGATGTAACTCTAACTTATAAAGCTGCTCTCCAAATATTCTACATTTCTGTAGACTGTAAAGCAATCACAAATTCATTCATAGTAGTAGAATAGGTGAATAATAAAACTGCTTCACTTCTGGGGCAAAGACTTATTGATTTCATCTCATTTATGGTTGGAATAAAAATCTGACTAGTTTTGAATGACCCTACATGTTTCTGAACAGATAGGCAGATAAGCAAACATATGTGCCAAATGAATGGGTTTTAAACATGACAGACACGTGTATGACACAGTAGTCAAATTGGTGTGCGTCTACTTTGGAGAATACCAATTTAAACATCTAGAAATGCAGAGGAGGGAAGAAAGTATGAAAACTTTTCTATATATTTTATTTATTTATTTGATTGATTTCAGAGAGAAAGGGAGAGGGGAGAGATAGAAACATCAATGATGAGAGAGAATCATTGATTGCTGCCTCCTGCATGCCTCCTAATGGGGACTGAGCCTGCAACTCTGGCCTGTGTTCTTGACCAGAATTGAACCCGTGACCCTTCAGTATATAATGTCTAATCTGGTGTGTACAACTAAAACTAATGTAATAAATAAAGTATTTCAACTGTAATTGAAAATAAAAAATGATAAAATGTTTAAAATAAACAAATAAGTAGAGGTTAACAAAAAGAATAAATGCCTACCTAAATATTAGACTATATCTTAGTAAGTATAAAATTCTTGGGTGAGACAAAACATAAACATGTGAAAGCAATTATTAATATACTGTGTTTGATAGAAAATGCAAGGTTGCTCTATTAAGAATCTAAAGTTTTGGCTGAGACAGGTTTGGTTCAGTGGATAGAGCGTTGGCCTGCGGACTGAAAGGTCCCAGGTTCGATTCCGGTCAAGGGCATGTACCTCGGTTGTGGGCACATCCCTGGTAGGGGGTGTGCAAGAGGCAGCTAGTCGATGTTTCTCTCTCATCGACGTTTCTAGCTCTATCCTCTCTCTTCCTCTCTGTGAAAAATCAATAAAATATATTTTTTTAAAAAATCTAACGTTTTGATTGGCCTTTACTTGAGTCAACTTACTTTAAGCTACAAAGTTAATGACGAGTATAACTTGTGCGGTGGCTATAAATTTTCTAAAATCTTTTCATCAACGTATTAATTCACATGATCAATTTAACTGGTTAACAAGGAAATCAGAAAAGATCCCAGAGAAAGAGTTGGTAGAGCAGGAATCCTGAAATGTCTTTAATTGATTAGTTGTAGTTGAGCAATGTCAGCATGAGCACATTAAAAATTCCAGGATGAAAGGGGGTGAGGGGTGCAGAGGGAGATTAACCAAAGAACTTACATGCAAATATGTATAACCCGTGGACATAGACAATAGTGTGATGAAAGACTGGGAAGTGGGTAGGAGCTGGAGGGAGGCCATGGAGGAAAGTTTCTGTAATACTTTCAACAATAAAGATAAATTTAAAAAGTAACAGTAACAAAAAAAGAAAGAAGGTATAAAGAAAAAAAAAATTCCAGAATGAAAATATTTGACATTGCTAGAAATTTGACTGGCGTATTTTTGAGCAAATACTTTGTTTAGTTTCTAAAATTAGTTCTAGATACTTGGCCTTTGGGACTACATATTGGCATTTTCCTATTTTATTTACCAGAAAAAATTGAGAATATTGATTTATTTCATTACATAATTCATTGGTTACATTTTATGTCTCCTTTCTTTTCACTTGATTATTCAATTCTGCTGGAATATTCCCTGCTTCTTTGACTTCTAGGAAAAGTATGGTGTATGCTTACAATGCATCCGTGCTGAGCTGTGAAACATGATTTATTTTATTTATTTTATTTTAAAAAATATATACTTTATTGATTTTTTTACAGAGAGGAAGAGAGAGGAATAGAGAGTTAGAAACATCATTGAGAGAGAAACATCGATCAGCTGCCTCCTGCACACACCCCACCGGGGATGTGCCAACCAAGGTACATGTCCTTGACCCGAATCGAACCTGGGATGCTCTATCTACTGAGCCACACTGGTCAGGGCTAAAACATGATTTTTAAAAAAATTATATTTTATTGATTTTTGACAGAGAGGAAGAGAGAGGGATAGAGAGTTAGAAACATCAATGAGAGAGAAACATCCATCAGCTGCCTCCTGCATACCCCCTACTGGGGATGTGCCACAACCCTTGACCAGAATCGAACCTGGGATATTTCAGTCCACAGGCTGATGCTCTATCCACTGAGCCAAACCCGTGAGGGCTGAAACATGATTTTAAATCCTACACATCATAATGTCATTTATTATTTACTTATTTAAATATTTTTATTGACTTCAGGGAGGAAGAGGGAGAGAGAAACACCAATGATGAGAGAGAATCACCAATCAGCTGCCTCCTGCATGCCCCCTACTGGGGATTGAGCTTGCAACCCCAGCATGTGCTCTTGACCGGAGGAACCCGGGACCCTTCAGGCGGGCGTTCTATCCATTGAGTCAAGCCTGCTAGGGCATGGTAATAACAGCCACCAGAACCCTCTGTTACAGCCTTCTTATTTTCATTTCAAAGTTGTATGTTGTGATTGGGACTAAATTATGTGGTGGGTGGGTGAGTGTGTGGGTTCTCAGGGGGGAAGGTGCTTGTACACACTTCCCTGGAAGGTTGCTGTTTGGAGTCCACTTACCACTGTGGCTCCGCAGGAAGGCAAGACACAACACACATCATTCAGCACCAACCACTCTGCTAACATCATCCATTCTAGTTGGAAATGTTTTCAACTGACTCATGCAAAAAATGCCATGATTCGTTCTATTCCCCGCCCCGTTAAAAAACAAAAAAAGACTAAAAATATTTTTTTTTAAAAATGTAAAAACACGACACGGAATCCCAAATTCACACTTAGTACGCTAACGTAAGGACTGACCTCACCATAGCTACCAGTTACCCGGGTCGCACCCCCGTCACCCGTCACTTCCTCCAGCCCCGCCAGGCCCGCCAGCCGGAGCTCCTCGCCCCGCCCCGTTCCTCCGAGCTAATGGGGTGCGCCGCACCCCCCGCAGGAAACCGCCGGGAGCCGCCTCTCCATCACCGGGGCTGAGGCCGGCGTCCGCCCACCACGCCGCCTTTCTTCTCCCCCCTCCCCCTCTTCGTGGCGCGCGCATGCGCACTCCCCCGGGGCCCGGGCCTGCGGCTCCGGGCCGATCTCCCTCCCCTTTCTTCCCGGGTCGCGCGGCCCCCCAAGCCCTCCCACCCGCTGTTTGAGGCCCCTCTCCCAGGCGCGGAGGGAGGGCGTGCTCCGGCCGGGGGCGCGCCGGTGCCCGGATGTGGAGTCGCCGGCGCCCGGAGGGGACTCCGCGGCGGGGCGGAGCGCGGCGGCGGCGTGCGTGGGGCTGAGAGCGGGGCCCTGGGCCGGGGCGCTCGCCGGACGCCGGCTGGTCCCACCCGGCCCGCGGGCGCCCACCGAGGCGAGGGGCCCGGGGAGAGGAAAGGCCGGCAGTTAAGCTCGCCCCCCGCCGCCCCCCCCCCCCCCCCCCCCCGGCTAGCTCCATTCGGCCCCCCGCGCTCCCGGCCCGGGGAGAGCGCGGTTTCCCGGCGGCCGCCGCCGTCGCCCGCTCGGGAGCCGGGAGGAAGCGGAGGAGGCCCCGCCCACGGCGCCCTCCCCTTCTCCCCTCCCCTCCCCTCCCCGCCGCCCGCCCTCCGCCTCCGACGCCTCCGAGTCGCTGCGGTTCGGCGTCCAGTCTGAGCGGGGGCGCGGCGGCGGCGGCGGCGGCGACGGCTGGGGAGTGGCGGTGGGCTCGGCGGGGATCGCGCCGCCGCCCCCGAGGGTTCCCCCCGCGCCCCCCGCGGCCCGCTGCCGCCCCCGCCGGCGCCCAGAGGCCGGCCCGGGCCCGGCGCGCTCCCGGGGCCCCCGGCGGCGGCTGCGGCGGAGCCCACCGCCGGCGCCCCGATGAGTAACTCCCGGAACAACCGGGTGATGGTGGAGGGGGTCGGGGCGCGGGTGGTCCGCGGCCCGGACTGGAAGTGGGGCAAGCAGGACGGCGGCGAGGGCCATGTGGGCACGGTCCGGAGCTTCGAGAGCCCCGAGGAGGTGGTGGTGGTGTGGGACAACGGCACCGCCGCCAACTACCGCTGCTCCGGGGCCTACGACCTGCGCATCCTGGACAGCGCGCCCACCGGTAAGCCGCCGCCGGGCCGGGCGCGCGGGGCTGGGCGAGGCGGGCGGGCGGCCGCCGGGGGAGGCCTGGGTGGAACGCCTCTCCCGCGGCGCCCGGCTGGAGGGAGCGGGAAGGGGAGAGGCAAAAGGAATTTTAGGGTCAGTGTCTTAATAAACAAAAACTTGCAGAAAAGACCTCCCCCCCCCACCCCCCCGCATCACTAAGGGAAAAGGTGAGCAACACCATTGCCAGGATGCTGTCCAGCCTGGAAGACACAAAGCCCGGGGAAGACAACAGACAGCTCCCCTCCTCCCCCTTCTGTAGCGTAGGGGTCTGGAGAGGCTTGTCTAGCAAGCCTTTGAAATTAATCAGAAATGAATCAGACCCCAAGCGCTCACTGTCAGAAGGGAGGCCTGCCTTGCCATATGGTGCTTAGTTCACTGGTGACAATTGCCAAGGGGCCCTTGGTACCCCCCTCCCTTCTTCTCCCCCCCTAGGAGTTCGGTAGCTGGATGCTGCTTGGGACCCCGTGGAATGGTTTTTCATCTAAATTGTTCCATTTTATATCGTTATACCAATACAGGGAAAGCAGTCTAAGCATTTCTTTTTGTTAAATCCTTTTTTTTCCAAGTGAAAAATAAGCATAGAAAACACCCGATACATGTTTTTGTTAACACCTCATTTTGTATGTAAGGTTCTGTCCAAGACTTATCCAATAACACAGCAATGAGTCAGTGTCCTTCCTGATTCACAAAATTTCAGGGATCTTGTGTGTTGTTGACTCTAGAATTTTTATATAATATAAATGAAAGGTCTAACTTGTTTTAATCAAATTCATTTTTCATATATATATATTTATCCTTAATAGTATTCAGTAGAAAATAGTTCAAATTCAAAATTTGATACTTTTTAGAATGCATAAATAAGCTACTTCTGACAAAGCCTACAATCCTTAAGTGGGTACCTAGTTATTGTTAGCAGCAATCAAAAGGGATATGAATACAAGCCAACTCAGTTTTTGAGATTATTCATAAAATTGTGTTTCCTACTTGGCTTTTGAAACATTGTACGTGAAGTACTAAAAGGAAAGTTTCAACAGTACAAAAAGGGGCAGCCATTGTTCGCAGTTTCTTGTATATTCTTACACAATACTCTGTTCATTGCAAGCATATATATTAATATACTATAAATCTATTACCCTTTAAGCAAAAATAGTAGTAAACTTTATTCTCTTCTGCACTTTTGTTTCTTAATAATATGGATTGGCAATTGTGCCATGTTGGCACCTTATTCTTTCATAGCTTCATGGTATTCCAGTGACTGGATGCAGTATTTTATTTAACCAGTGCTTTTTTGATGGGCATGGATAGTGTTTCATGTCTTCTTATTTACAAAGATGGACTGATTAAATCCTTGTAAGTGTATCCTTGTGCATTTGTGCTGAGTATATCTGAGGTGGAATTGCATCAAAGGATACACATATTTAACATTTTGATAGATAGCGACTAATTGCCCTCTGAAGACATTTACCAATTTAAACTCCCAGCAACACTGTATGAGGGCTATACCTGTATTTGTACATTTTAAAAATATTTTCATGCAACCTCAAGCTAAAGTTTGACCATAACTCAGTAGTTTGGAGGCACCATGGGATAAGTTATTGTAGGTTTATAGGGAAATTTTTTAAAAGTATATTTTATTGATTTTTTATTTTATTGATTTTTCACAGAGAGGAAGAGAGAGGGATAGAGAGTCAGAAACATCAATGAGAGAGAATCATCGATCAGCTGCCTCTTGCACACCCCCTACTGTGGATGTGCCCGCAACCAAGGCACATGCCCTTGCCCAGAATCGAACCCGGGACCTTTCAGTCCGCAGGCCGACGCTCTATCCGGTCCCGGCTATAGGGAAATTTAAAATGTCTTTCCAGGGTAAAGGTAAAGTGTAACAAATCTCGTACTACAGCAATTTGTTAAATGGATATTAATGTCTAGTATGGAGTATATCTGTCCTATAAACAGTTTCATTATTTTAAATAGAGCAGGTGCTTTTCAGAGGTTAACTGTTATAAAATCTTAGTTTATTTTTCAAGATTATTCCATGCATTATTTAATTTGCTGTGTGTAGCAATTCATCTTGTTCAACTGATTCTTTAGCAAACAATTAAAAAAAATTCATTCAGCTTTTATTTTTATTTTTTAGAGAGAGAGGAAAGGAGAGGAGTGGAGAGATGGAAAGTTCCATGAGAGAAACCTGGACTGGCTGCTTCCTGCACGCGCCCTACTGGGGATCAAGTCCAAAAACCCTACATGTAACCTGACTGGGAATGGAACTGGGGACCTCTTGGTTCATGTGTTGATGCTTTTTTTTAAATCCTCACAAGGATGTTTTCCCACTGATTTTTGAGATTATGGAAGGGAGGGGGAGAGACAGAGAGACAAATATCTATGTGAGAGAGAGACTATCAATTGGTTGCCTTCCTCATGTGGCCTGATAAGGACCAAGGATCCAGCCTGCAACTGAGGTATCAGGATAGAGCCTGGGACCCTGCAGTCCTTGGGCGGATGCTCTATCTATTGAGATAAATTGGCTAGGGCAGGCCAGGCTCTTCTGCGAACATTTTAAAAGCACTCCTAGTAGGGCAGCTAGTCTTCTTATGAAATACCGGAACAAATCATAAACTCTTGGCTCTGTTTTTGCCCCAGGAATATAATACTACTATCCAAGTTTTTCTTTTTTTCTTCTTCAAGATATTTAAAAATAGATGTTAGCATTATATTACATTTTGAAGATTTAATACGTATTTATTATATACCATATTTGATATTTATTTACACAATAGTTAAAGAATCACAATTTTTATTTTGAAATAATTTCAGCCTTACAAAAAACTACAAAACTAGTAAAAAGAGTTCCTTTTGGCTTTTCAGCCATAGTCCTAAAATATTAATGTCTTATAAAGTACAATTATTGAAAGCAGAAAAATAATATTGCTACAACACTACTAACTAATCTACAGACCTTATTGAGATTTTGCCAATTGTCCCACTAATGTTCTTTTTCTGCTCCAGGATCCAATCCAGGACCACACATTGCATTTAGTTGTCATTCAGTCTCTTCCAATCTGGTCCAGCTAGTCTTTCTTTGTCTTTCATGACTTTGACACTCACTAATAATTCCATAGAATATCCTTTACGTTGGGTTTGTCTAATGTTTTCTCACGATTCAATTCAGATATGTGTTTTAGATATAAATACCGTAGATGTGATGTTTTGCCCTAAGAATTGCATTATTTCAGGAGATACAGGCTACCCATATGTCTCATTAATGAGTGTGTTAACTTGCCTAACTCACTAGCATTTTTACCTACCATTGCAATGCCAACATGAAAAAGATAAATATAACCTTGGTATAGTTATGAAAATACTTTGACCTCATGAAGCCCCTGAAAGGGTCCTGGGGACTACCTTAGGGGTTTAAGAATCACATTTTGAAAATTACTGCCCTAGACAGAATCTCTCATTGAGAATCAAGACGCTTGTATAAGAATGTTCACAGAAATATTGCATGTAGAATAAAGAAATTAGAACCTGGTTTGGCTCAGTGGATAAAGCCTGTGGACTGAAGGGTCCTGGGTTTCGTTCCGGTCAAGGCCACCTGGCCTGGGTTGTGGGCTTTTTCCCAGTAGGGGTGTGCAGGAGGCAGCTGATCGGTGATTCTCATCATTGATGTTTCTCTTTCTTTCCTTCCCTCTCCCTCTCTGAAATAAAAAAAAAAAAAAAGATTTAAAGAGCGAAAAATTGGAAAAAAACCTTAAAGGTACATCAACAGAAGAATGGGTAAACAAACTGAATTTATACAGTGAAGTTCTGTATAGAAGACAAAATTAATATTAAGCAAATAAAGCAAGAAAGTAAAGTTTTTTGGAAAAGAAACTTATGATCTGTTAAAGTGCAAAACAGAACTATTGTTTGGAGCAGTGTTGCTTAGCTTGGCACTATTGCTGTTTTGGGCTAATTAGATAATTCTTTATTGTAGGGGGCTGTTCTGTGCATTGTAGACCAGCTTCCCTGGCCTCTACCCATAGATACAGTCATGATAACCCCAAATATTTCCAGATATTACCAAATACCCAAGAGGGAGCACCATTGCCCCTCATGCTCATTGGTTTAGGAATATGCATGTGTGTGGTAAAAGTCGACAAGAAAAGTAATGTGCTCACTTCCAGGGAGTGGATGTCTTTATGTTGGAGGAAGTGGAGCACAGTTCACGGTAGTACCCCAGGGGCTATAACTATTTTGGTAATGTTTTATGTCTTAAATTAGGTGGTGGGCGCATAGGTGTTTGTTAAATTTTTATGCCTTTTTTTTGTGTGTGTGTGTGTGTGTGTGTGCTCGACATATTTTATAGTTAATTTAAAAAAGTCCTATGATATTTACCCTAAGGATAATTGAGATTATCTTTGATGTTCATTCTTTTTCCTTATTTATACCCACACTATATGAGCAAAAAAATTATTACAGTATATTTGGGAATTAAGAAATGGGTAACCTTTAAAATAAAATTCTGCAAAACTTTTCTGAGAGTTAAGGATTCTGGAGTGGTTGGGTCATTGTGAATCTCTCTTGTATTCCCTTATTACATATGGAATATTTTGTGTCTGGGTTGTATGTGAGGTCTGTAATATTTTGGCATATAAGTTTTTTTTTTTCTTAGGTGACACATGATATGTTTGAATTTATGGTCTAGGAGAGTCAAACCATGAGAAGAGGAATTTAGTATATATTTGAATGATATAACTTCTATCTTAATGTCCAGATATATTTGGCTAATTTGTAGTGAGCAAGAAGATAGCACAAATATTGATATATGTATACATTATTGTTGAATTAATTTAGAGTTAATTGTGGGAAATTGATGCACAGTTGATATTTTATCATTTAGGTACTGATTTTATAGGATTTAGGAAGAAAATGTGTTTTTACTTAGTACTTGTTTTGTGGTCACTTGACTACAGTATT